AGAAAACTTACGAAAAACATTTAGCCTGAACATTCTAAGCACTAAATACTTTGTAGTGAACAAAGTACACAATAATAATAACAAAAGGAATAACAGTAACCTAAAATATTCAACAACATGCCCAAGATATTGATTTAAAACTGACTGAATGGAGAGCAGAGTCTCTCTGGCCAAAGTTTGCCCCACACATAATCTTCCTCTCGATATCTGTTAGTCTTTCTCTAGAGTATGTATTTACTTGGAGAAAAACACACTGCATTTAAAAATTAACAATTCAAAAAAAATTAATATAAAAATCAACAATTCATTAGTATTAATAATGTATAGTAATTTATTCCATGACATCTCAGAGGGCAAAATTATACATAAAACAAATGAAAGTTATGAGAGCTGATTTGGGGTTCACAAAATGGATATATCTCAAAAATAGAACTTTCCATAGGTCCAGTAGGCTGCATGACTTTAAATATCTAGCATATCCCTAGCCTTCAAGAACAGGTTACATTTCTTCTCTGGCAGTTGAGCTTACATAGCTGGCCAGATGATTTTTAAATCATTTCCTAACATTATCTGAGTCTTACTATTTTCTCAATCTCCTCTGAATTTTAAATGGTTATTCAATACCTCAGTTCTTAAGATGTAATCTATGCATGTAGAAATTCCACTGACATTTTCATTTTTAGATAGATATAGATGCAATATACAAAGCAACATAGGATACAGAAAATTTTAAATTGGCCTTTTCTTCTTTGAGATCAATACTCAGAATAATCAATTGCTTTATGTGTTAACTATCTGTTCATATGACTGGAAAAAGAACTCAATATGCTTGGTGCCAAAAATCTATTTATTCATTTATTAATTCATGTATCCAATGAATATTTATGAAACATTTATCAAATCCTTCCTATAAACTAAGCATTGTGCTGTGTGGTATAAGGTTATATTTTATAGAAAGAGCTACAATCAATATTTTGACTCTAAAGCAAGAACTGAAGAAATTTAAACATTTTTTATTTTTGGTTTTCAGGATTTAATACTGAGGGAGACCATTACACATTTACCTAATCACCAGACACATTTTATAACAAAATATATTCATTCAAGGTTATTTCTTATTAAAATATTATGTAGCTCTCTCTGACAGTACAAAATTTATGGAGGTGATTAATAAAAGCAAACTTTTTATCTATCCTATCAATATAATGTGAACACAGGTCAAGGGGTTATTTTATGTGATGTCAAAACCATTTCTAATATTCCCAGTTAAAAAGGAGCACCTCTCTGTTTTGTCATGATAATTTAGCTTTAATAAAGCCTGACAGGTTGATTTCTCTCCCATCTTTTATATTTAAACTTGAACCTAACATATATTTATATAGAAAAATCACTTTATAGTTGTACTAAATATCATTTTATCATTCCTATAAAATTCAAGCAGAATTTCAAGAAAAGCAGGCTGATTATTTTAAGACTTTCTTAAACTGATTTGTAGAGGCAGAATATACTTAAGATAATAATAAGACTTTCTTAGACCTATTTGTAAAGGAAGAATATAGTTAATAAAAACCTTTGATATTATTTAACACAAAAGCAAACAGAGATCTTTTTATATTTGACATTAAAAATCTGATCACTTGCCTCCCTAAAGAAAGCACATACAGCTTTTATACAGACTACACAGTAAAGAATAATAATATTTCTGTTTACTGAGATATCAACTGGCATTTCACTGTAAGTCAATGGTCTATCGTTGCTACAGCATATTAGACCTCAATCTGGCATCTACAAATGTCAAGAGTATAAAAAAATATATAGGATGAAAATCAAAAGCATGTTCTGAACTCCACCCTCCTGCAAAAAAAAAAGGGAAACAAAGTTCATCTAAACGAATTTGCTGCAAAATCAGTGCAATATTCAGCTGTCAATCTAGAAAAACAAGGGAGCCACACTGTCAGTAGGACAGGATAATAAAATTTCCAGCAGATGTTCAGGCAGGGCTCTAATTTTTACTGAACTCCCTTGGTAAGCATTTAATTTCTTTATCATATGCAGCCTTGGAAAATTGTACTTCATCAAAACTGTATTGTGAAATATTAATATTTCATATGATAACAAAACTCTATAGACTAACCTTTGTCATATTAAAATAATCCAAATTTCAAATGTCAAGATTCTAAATTTTAATACATTTTAAATAGATTATTGAATTGGTATAATAAATTATAACCAGGCCAATCTCAGTTGGTATGTTATAATGTCACACAAATGTATAGTAAATATAATATTTTAAGAGCTAGCCTTAGATGAAAGGCAGAGGAAAAAATATGCATCAAGTATTGCATACCATATATCATCAATAAGAAAGACAGAAGTTCTTAAAATGCAATTATATACTCAAAACAGGTTTAATCACTAATTGGAGCAATATAAGAAAACCAAATGGAGTTCTCTATGAGACAAATGGACTATTCTATAAACTCATATACAGGAAGTAATCATTTTTGAAAATGACTATAGAAATGTAAGGTGGCATCATTATTTTTGTCATTATAATTTGCATAAATGTGTTTCTTGAACTAATTTTTGAATAGTATTTTTAACATTATTTTGTACCCATTATCAAACTAAGTAAAGTAGCACTTCTGAAAAGATCCTTCTTTATGTTTCACATATCAGATTTAATTTGCATTTAATCATAACTCCCCCTTTGAATCAACATCACAGTCTTTCAAATTAATAGATTAAATTCATATTTAAGGTTGAGAAAGAAGTTAGCTCCACATTCATTTACGCTGCTGATCCCATTAAAGAAACTGCTCCTAAGCTACTGAAAGATACAGTGTCACAAATCAATGCACGGCACCAATAGAGAGAAGACATATTTCTGATTAATCAGAATTCAATTTTTGCAAGCAAAGAAACAGCAAATTTAAAGCTTTTTCCTTGCCATAATTCTTCACTAATACCTTAACCAACTATTTTTGATTACATGTATGTATTTAAAGTATAATAACTAATATAGTCATTAATTGCCATTTGAGACTATTTTCCACAACAGCTTAAACATTTGATTATAGCTTCCCACTTACTCTTAAAAGATGAATTGAAACAAAGGCAAACATACTATTAATATTCTACAAGATTATAAACAATTGATCCATGGTATTCTACATCTGAATGGAGTCTACTTTGTTCATTTTTACACTTTGTTTAATGGAATGCTTTGTAAATATTCAGTTTATTTAGAAAAAAATCCTTCTTCTGATAATTAAATGTAAAAATCTTTAAGAATTTTTTTGTGCATTGACTTTTCTAACTTTTAAGGATTGTCTTGATTTTCTTGATCATACTTACATGTAGCACGCTGTAAAGCTGTCAGAATAAGACAGCTGTAATGTTTTAGCCATAATAATGCCAGCTATTGATCCCAGTAAGAGAAAAAAGAGGGAGAGAATGTGCTTAATGGGGCATGTTTGTTCTCTATTATTTTCTTTGCCTAAGGATAAGGCTGATTTAAATAATGATACTCTTCTTAGTCACTAGCTTCACACATTCTTATACATTAATTATTACTAACTATCAGCTAGTGCGGAATACACTGTGAGGTTTAGCATCTACAATTTTGTAAATACATGGTCTAAAAAAATGCTAAATTCATCTGCTTTTTCAAAAATTTCAAACTATTAGGAGGATGACACCTATTGTCTAAGGCATTCTACTTTGAAAACATGCATGTATGTGATTAGTGTACCTCAAAGAATTAATTTCAACTTTAAAATGTAGTACATTTCCTGTTAATTATGTCTACTTCTGGACTGAGTCATATTGCCACATGAAACTGAGGATATATGTTAGGGGGGGGAATGTTTTTGTAAAATATTTTCAAACATTCATCAAGAAGCTTATGTTAGCATCAATAGATTATAAGGATTTTTCTTTACATGAATTAAATCTCAGGTTTTTTTGCAAACCGGATCAACTGTCTCCATAACTTTGAATTGAGGTATATGTCTCATTTAAACACTTCCCCAAATCCACAAACAATTAATTGTATCAAAATAAAAACTAAAATGCATGTAATCCAGGAATTTCAGCGCTGGGTATATATCCAAAAGAAAGCAAATCAGTATGTCGAAGAGACATCTGCACTCCTTTGCTCCCTTCAGCACTATTGACAAGATATATGTATATATATATATTACTCACACATATCACATATTTTATATATACAAATAATATATGATGGAATAATGTTCAGCCATGATAAGGGTGAAAACCTCTCATTTGTGACATGGATGGAACTAGAATTCATTAATATTAAGGGAAACAAGTCAGGCACAGAAAGACAAGTACCACATGATCTCATTCACATGTGAAAGCTAAAAAAGTTGATCTCAAAGACTGAGAATAGAATGGTCATTACCAGAGGCTAGAAAGAGTAGAATGGAGGGAGGTATGGGGAAAAGTTGATCAATGTGTGCTCACGTACAACTGGACAGATGTGGAAATTCTGATATGTTACTGGCAGATAGGATGACTACAGAAAATAATCAGCTGCATTTTCAAAGAGTGAAAAGAAAGGACTTTGAAAGCTAATGATAAATCTTGGAGGAGATTAAATATGTGAAACCTGATTTAATTGTTACACAGTGTATACATGTATCAGAACATCATATGGTATCCTATCAAAATATGTAATTTTCACGTATCAGTTAAAAAATTTCATAAGAAGCCAAGTGTTTGGATTACTAAATGAAATATCACCTATATAATATAATGCTTCATAAAAATGCAAAATGGAAAATATTATGATACACACTGTCCTATGGGACAGATAGAATGAAAAGAAATTAAAGGTTAATGTGTAATGACAGGATTTGTCTAATAATATAATAGCTACTATATCTTGGTCAGAAAAATTTTCCATAATATACTCTTTATGCTTTAATTAAAATACACATTAGGCAATTAAATATGATTTCAAAAATAGTTCTTACCTTATCAAGAGAGAAAGTTTTGGTCAGGGCAAAGGCCCATCCAGCTTCAAAAGCTCTTCGAATCATTGATGTGCTGGTAGCTGGAGTTGCACTAGCAAGACCAAAAGGATTTATAAACTTCAGCCCAGCCATTTCCACACTAATATCCACCAGATCAATAGGAGTGTAAAAGAGGGGTAGCTCAGGCTTGGCAGAAACTGATGCTCCATATTGTGACTACAAAAGACAAACAGCCAATGATTGGTCCAACTTCCTATTTAAATCATCCATACAATCTTTTACAAAAACGAATGTTACATTTTAATGAATACAGATTACATCAGTCTGTTTACAATGATGAAAAGTGGCCAAAAGCCAGTTATCAGTGAACCAAATTCGTATATAATTGTCATTCTTTTCTAATTTAAGTATGGACTATTGACAGAAATAAAATCAATTAAACAGACAACTCTAAAACATACAGAGAATCAAACACAAAAGGAAACGACTTTAGAATTTTTCTCTTTGCTTCCATAAACGCAGCCTCTTTTTACTTATTTTATGAAAATGTCTTCCTGTTCAGAGATATGGACAACAGCAAATCAGGAGTCCTAAATTCTATTTCCAGTAATCTCACTACAGTCTATGCAATTTTAGGAGGACCCTTGTCTTTTTTACTCTGTAGTTTTCAGTATAGCAGTAGGAATGCTGGTTACCTAATTTCCTACCTCATAGGGATATTGGAAAATGCAGGAAATCATAAGCCACAGGGAGACATCTAATTTGGAAAGAGGGCAATACACGCATGAGAAGAAGGGGAGTCTGTTGTATTTTTTTCAGAAACAAAACAGGTACCACCAGTTTATGTGGAAATCTTCAATAGTCACTCAAAACTGTACATTGACTTTTGTTAAATGCTCACTGTAATAATGCTTTCTTGTGGAATTATTAGAATGATTTACTGACAATTCTTATGCATAATACTCTGTAGCAAGGTAGATGCTTGCTAAATTATATTTCTTTCTCCCTTTTTCTGCCTCTCCCTCCCTCTGTTCCTCTGTTTATCTCTGAATGAAAGTAATATTGAAGAATTTAAAAAGGATGAATTTTCACAGCCAAAGTAGTTCTTGAATGGGCAGGGCTAGTTAATTCAAAAGTAGAACTTCTCTTTCTCTTGAATTATCACTCAAAAGAAAAGTTATTTGAGCAGAATTTTAATTTTATAGGAGTGTGTCTTGTGTAGATAAAAGATTTCCATGGCTTGCACAAAAATTATTTCTAGTCCTCCACCACTTACAATGAAAAACAAAGTTCACTTAATATGTAAAGAGGCGTCAAACTTGCTAAGTGAAAGACTTGTGTTCCTGGTCTTGTGAAAGGGTGCCAGACAGCATCCAGGCTTCAGTTATGACAAGCACTCTCTGCCAGGGATGTCTTCTTTTCTGTCCCCCGCCCACCTTCCCTTTCTCCCTTCTTCTCTTTCCTGCCGTCTTCCCCTTTGTTTGTTCGTCACCCTTGGTCCCTTCCTTCCTTCCTTCCTCCCTCCCTTCTGGAATTCCTTCCTTGCTTCCTTCCTTCTTTGCTTCCTTCCTTCCTCCCTACTTCTCTCCCTCCCTCCCCCTTCCCTTCCTCTTTCTGGTGTTAATGATCAAATCCAAGTATATTCGGTAATTAATCTCTTGAGATTTAAGAATCTCAAGTTTCAGTTCTCATCACAGAAAGAATTCCTCAAAAATCCCGGTTGTAACCTTCAAACTGAGATTTCCAAGAGACTGCAACACCTTCAGATATGGATTTCATGCTCCCATGTCAAATTCAACCTTAAAGACATACTACAGAGTTAAAGACATACTACAGTGAATCGTAATACCTAAATCATTGAAGTGGCTTATATGCCCATCACAGAAGAATGGATAAAGAAAATGTGGTATTTACACATCATGGAGTACTACTTTGCCATAAGGGGGAGGAAAGGCAAGAGAAAGGGATGAAGAAAAGAATTGAGATGTGTTATTTACAGTTACCAAGTCCCCATGAAGAATGTAATCAACATGTAATGGAAACATGTACTAATAAAAAATAAAACAAAATAAAAACTGGAATAAAAAATGCTATCTAAAAAATATTCTACCCCAAAATTATGCTACCCAATAAATCCGCTACCCAGATTTCCAGTTTCATACAATTTTATTTCACCAGTCATTCAATAGTGTTAGTCAACAACAGATACAAAAAACAAAAAACAAGAAACAAAAAAACTCTAGGTGTTCAACCCAAGACATAAGTTCTGTGAGAGTTCTATTACAGAAAAGAATGCTGTGCTAGCATCAAAAATGACACAGAAGAAAAGAGTATCGGCATGAAATAGTGTTTATCATATACTATGTGAAAGAAAAGTGAAGCAAAGCTTCATGCAAATACAAAGTTTTGTATAAATATACCCATGTGTATATAGCTTGTTATATGTTTTGTTCACCCTTTATCACAAAAGTTGTAATATGTAAAAGTTGTAATATGTTAGCCAGAATCATTTTATGGAATAGGAGCTCCAGATGACACTTAATTTAAAAATGCTGATTGTGTTTTCAATATTGTTAATAAGCAACACAAATTAATATATATGAAATAAGTAGATTTCAGTGTATGCTAAAAGTTAAATTTTATTTTTATTCTAAATGAACAGTTTATAACTCTATATAGCTATGTGGTGCGATGTTTTGATTTATGAATATAATATGAAATAATTAAATCAAGCTAGCTAACATGTCTGTCATCTCACATTCTTAACATTTTTGTGGTGAGAACATTTGAAATTTCAGTAATTACGTACAGCACCATTGTTAACTATATTTATCATGCTGTATAATAGATATAAAAGGTTCTTCCAGTTTAATTCAGATTCTGTGACCTTTATCATCATCATCCTATGTCCCCCACCCCACCTTACCCTCTGTAGCTATCATTCCACCTTCACCTTCTAAGCATTTGATATTGTGGGATGCCACACATGAGTGTATGCTGGATTTTTCTCTCGGTGCCTTGCTTACATAATTTAGCATAATGCTTCCTAGTTTCAATCAACTTATCAGAAATGAAATAATTTCTTTCTTTTTAAAGGCTGAATATTATTCCCTGAAAATATGTACAACATATTCATGATCCACTCTTTACTTCATGGACACTTACATTGATTCCATAGCTTGGCTATTATGAATAGTGCTTCTATGAATGTAGGAATACAGATATCGCTTTGAAATACTGATTTCAAAACTTCACGGTAAATATCCAGAGTGGAATTACTAGATAATAAAGTAATTTTATTTTTAGTTTCGTGAAATGGCTATGCTAACTTACATTCCTATCAACATTGTACAAGGGCTCCCATTTATCCACACCCTCATGAATATTTGAAATCTTTCATCTTTTTATAATAGCCATTTGACAGGTGTGAGATGACACTGTGGCTTTAATTTGCATTTCTCTGATAAATATCAATGTTTAAAATGTTTTCCTATGTTTTCAGGCCATTTGCATATCTTCTTTTGACAAATGTCTGTTCAGGTCTCTGTGTATTAATTATTTCAGGGTTTTGTTGCCTGGTTCCTTATATATTTTAGAATTCATTCTTTATTAGTTGTATGAGTTGAAAATGTTTTATGTAACCCACAGGTTGTTTCCATACATTGTTAGTTGTATCTTTGTTGTGCAGAGTGTCTTAGTTTGATTTTTGTGTATTTTTGTTTTTGCTGTGTGTGCTTTGGGAGCCAAATCCGAGTATCATTGCTCAGACCAACATTCTATAGCGCCCCCCATGTCTTCTAATAGTTTCATCACATTTTCTTGTCCTGCATTTAATACTTCATTTATTTTGAGCTGATTTTTTATATATGGTGTGAAATAAGTATCAAAATTTAATTCCTCTGTATGTGGATATTCAGTCTTCCCAAGATCATTTTTAAAATGACTCTCCTTTTCTCATTATATATTCTTGAAATTCTTAAAAATAAGTTGGCTATATATATGTGCGGATTCATTGTATCTCAGTGGTTGATGTGCCTTTTTTTCTTGCCAGTGGCATGCTTAAAAGAAATTTTAAAAAGAAACAGTGATAATTTAAGTCCCATCAAGTGAATATCAAGGTAAAGAGCCTGCTTGTTAGTTTCTACCACACACACTGTTCTGAATCCATCTTTTCAGTTATATTATTATTGCTCAAAGCAGTTAATTTATAAAACTAGAAAAAAATCAAAGAAGTGATCTACATTAAAAGCTTTATTTTATAAAAAAGAAACCCAGGAGGTTAAGGAGTAACCTGTAAGATACTCTGTGGCAAAGGCCCAACAATATAAGGATGTATTTTTCAGTATTGCTAGCTAATGTTTTACAACCAGCTCTCAGTAATTGAAATGTTTCCATCATCCTCTGCAACGTCTAGTTGTTCAACATATACTTAAATTGAAAAAGAACAAAAAAATGAAATGTTAACTAAAGTTATAAAGAATTGAGATGAGGAAGTTAAAGTAGAGATTAAAGAAAACCTAGCTGTCCACTTTTAGACTATACAGACAAGGTGTAATATTTCTCTTTTAGAAGACTTTTCCACATATAAGAGACGTGGAAAATGAGAGAGAGAGAGATGTCTAAAGATCATTTGTTTTGAAAGTTTGCTTCTTTTCCTTAGAATTATTTTGTAAAGACTGAGTAAATATTTGTCACTTAAAATACAATTTCCAAAAATTAACATGATGGCATAGGTTATGAGAAGTTCCAGATTTATATGAATTACACTTAAATTTTCTCATTTCATTCCCATCTGCAAATTCATACAAGGGTCTTCATTACCTATGGAATTAAAACATAAACTCCTTAGTATTATATAATCTTAATTTTGATTTGGGATCTTCTCTAACCTTACCCTTTATAATTTCAACTCCTACCACTCCCTCCCGTATCTTATGTTTTGGTTTATTAACTTCATTGCAATTTATCAAAGCAATCCACATTATGAATGCATGAATACATTTCAACTTTTTTTTTTGATAGGAAGGGGCATAGATTATTATCATCTTTCTAAATTTAATGCTTGAAAATTCAAATTTTCTGTCTTCATTCAGTCTGTCTTAACTGAGAAAGTTCACTTGTGCCCTGCAACCAAACTTTTCTTTCTTATCATACTTTGTACTTGTTTGCTTACATGTATGCATCCCCTGTTTAACTTAATTTCACCATGAAACATG